TGATCCTACTGCAGATCGCGTGAACAAGATGCTGCCCACGTGCCAATACTTTCAAACGCCGCTCGTCTCCGTCCCTGACGCCGGAAGGAAGGCCGTGCTCCCGGCCGCCAGATCCCTGATCCGCCTCTCCTCCTCTCTCGGTACGTGCACGCCCATCGGACAATCATGCTCCTACATGTATGCATGCTCCTACATGTATGCATGCTGAGACAAGAACTTGCAGGCCGCCAGCCGCTTGCGCGGTCCGCCGGTCTCTGGATCGATTGGGACGAGGGGAGCGGAGCCGGCATTGTTTTGACATCCGCGCATCTCATCCGTGCCAAGGAGGCGCTGCCCAAAGACTACCGGATGCTCAAAGACCGGCACCTGTATCATCCCGGTGCTCAAGTGAGTAGCACCGATCACTAGTAGAAAACAGGGCTATCATTCGGGCCTGGCCAGCCCATTAGTCCCGGTTCCCACGAACTGGGACCCATGGGGGGATTAGTCCCGGTTTATGAGCCCAGGGGGCCGGCCGGGGCCTCGAGGGCGTTGGTCCCGGTTCGTCTGGATCCATTTGTTCCGGTTTTAGGCACCAACCGGGACCAATGGGCTGCGCTCCTGGCCCACAGCCATTGGTACCGGTTCATGCCTTGAACCGGTATAGAAGGGTTGTCTTTAGTCCCGGTTCGTGCCACGAACCGGGACAAATAATTTACCTATATATACCCATCGTCGCGGCAGAGCACTCCACAGTGCCCTGTTTTTTCAAGCCGGCGAGGGGAGGGCATTTGGGTGCTCTAGTTCACCTTCTATGTACATGAAGTGCCACCAATCAGGACTAAATGGCCTCCTCCCTGGGCTCGCCGCACCGGCCACGTGGAGGTCCATCTGTCCCTGTTTATGCAAGAACCGGGACTAAAGGTCTAAGGAATTAGTACCGACACTTTAGTTCCGGTTCAAAACCGGGACAAATGGCCCTTACGAACCGGGACAATAGGTCATTTTTCTACTAGTGGATCATGCAACCGGAAAACTAACACTTTGCTTAATTTGCCGGTGCCCGCCTTACTTTATGGTGTGCTTTGTTTTAGGTTACTGTTCACTTGCTCGACGACACCACTACGGAAGGCCGCCTGCTCTATCATCAGGAGCATTACGATGTAGCTTTCTTCAAGGTTGCAGTGGATCGACGTGTTCAACTAACCTCCTTTGCGGACACAGTCAACATTGGTCAGAAAGCTTTGCGACTTGGAAGAGAAGAAAATTTAAATCTCAGGATAACCCATGGCAAGGTTAAACTAGACGAGGCGGAACTAGGAGAGCGACACCACCACAACATGTACTTTTATCCCGATGAAAAATATGAGGTATGTATGAAATATGATCTTTTTTGAGAAGTCAAATTAAACAAACTTTGACCAAATTTACAGATAAAACTATTTATATATACAATTCCAAACATATATAACATGGAAATATAACTGATGATGTATCCAGTGATATGCATTTGGTATTTCAAATGTATATATTTTTGTCTATAAAGATGGTCAAAGTTTGTACTTTTTTACTTTTGAAAAATATATATTATACACACTATATTATGGAAGGGGGGGGGGGTATTTATTAGTGTGAAGCATATGTACAGGAGGAGGAGACTGAAGAGAGGCAGAGAAAGTGGAGGGGAAAGGGTGTGTACATACCTAGGGTAAGCCTGAGATTCTACTCTATATGCACAATTTCCTAAGGTTGAGTTATATGTAATTTTGACCTTCTATATGTTGTTATTCCTTCAGACCATTTTGTCTATTATAACAAAAAATATATACACATATGTTTTAGTGTGACGATGATGGAGAGCCGGTCATTGACTTTGATGGAAAGGTTGTGGGGATAATCAACTGTTCTGAAAGTGGATCCTTTGTTCCTTCTTCCATTTTGAACAACTGCATGTATTTGTGGAGGAATTTCGGGTACAATTCTCCCTCGGTTTTATAGCAATGCTTGCTGATGCATTCTTTTTTTTGCTATTTTTTGTTTGTAGTTGGACTATAGGTATGACCTCATATATAGAGATTATATCTATGTTTTGATTGTTCAGAATGTGATTGTTGTCATGCTTTATGTTTGTAATGTTAAATAAATTTATGTGATTGTTTTACAAAAAAGTTTGTAAGTGACACTATACAACGGGTGGAACTTTGAAGTGCTAGG